CTTGTCTAAATGTGGTGCAGCAAACTTTAAACGAGCTTCAACATGCTTTTTCTTCAGCAATGGAGTCTTGCATGGTGAGCGTGTCTACAGGCCATGGCGGTTGAGTGCATTACGTCTCTAGGTTACGTATGTAACTATGGTTCCCCGAGGGAACGAGACGCTGCGTCGAGATCGCTTTGGGAACGCCCTTGCGTGACCGCGTTCTGAAGCACGTGTCAAATCCGTCCAATGGAGCAGCGAGACGTCACGAGCAGGGTGACGTAAGCACCAGAAAGCATAAAAGCGCATCCGGCCGGGCGCAAACCAGCTTCGATGAAGTAGCGCCTGCAGGGATGCAGGGAGTATGGCAAAGAGACGCAGCGTCTCGTTCCCTCGGGGAACCATGGTTACATACGTAACCTAGAGACGTTCCCCTTCAGGAACTCGAGCTGCGTCGAGATCGCTTTGGGAACGAGAATACCCACTGCGCCATACTACCAAGTCCCTGCCTGTGTGTGTATCCTATGAGCACATCACGAAGAGAGAACTTGGGAACCTGGGGTAGATGCCAGGTCTAGGTTGTAAAAGCGGACAAAAGTGTGCGGAGAGGACCAGCCCGCCGCAGCACAAATGTCCTGCAAGGCCACACCCAAGCTGAAAGCCTTGGAGGCCGCCATACTCCTGGTCGAGTGCGCTCTGACCCCCATAGGTGACGGGAGGCCAGAGGACTCGTAGGCTAGTGAGATGGCCTCGACCACCCACCTACTCATAGTCTGCTTGGTCGCCGGAGATCCTTTCTTTGGCGGACCAAAACAAACAAAAAGCTGATCTGCCTTACGCCACGGGGCAGCTCTGTGTGCGTAAGCGTCCAGTGCTCGAACTGGACAGAGCAGATTAAGCCTTTCTTGGCCTGCTTCCTGGAATGGAGGAGGACAGAATGCCTGAAGTACTATGGGCCCTGGTGAAGAAGTGGGCACCTTAGGGACATACCCGGCCCTCGGGTAAAGGAATGCCCTAACCATGCCTGGAGCAAACTCCAGGCACGAAACAGAGAGTGCCTGAAGATCCCCGATCCTTTTCAGTGAGGAAATAGCAAGGAGAAAAATAGTCTTGAGCGTGAGCAACTTGACCGAAACTTCTTCTATGGGTTCAAAGGGTGCATTGCATAAGCCCTCCAGAACCACAGCCAGGTCCCATGAGGGCACCTTAGTGCGCTGTACCGGCCTCAGCCTCAGGGTGCCACGGAGGAAACGAGTGATAAGTGGGTGTCTTCCCAATGATTGACCACCCAGAAGGGCGTGGTAAGCAGCTAAGGCCGCCACGTATACCTTCAGAGTGGAGGGAGATAACCCTGCGGAGAATCGCTCCTGCAGAAACTCCAGAACTGTACCAATTGGGCAGTTGACTGGGTCTTGCAGTCGCTGTCCGCACCATGAAGTGAAAAGCTTCCACTTTAAGGCGTACTGTTTCCTAGTGGCGGGAGCTCTGGACTGGAGAATAGTATCAACAACCTCAGTTGAGAGACCAGATGCTAGGAGCTGTGCCCCCTCAGGGGCCATGCCCACAGCTTCTATAACTCCGGGCGGGGGTGAAGAATGGCGCCCCCTGCCTGAGAGAGGAGGTCCCTCCAGATCGGAATCTCCAGCGGAGAGCCGTCGAGGAGGGACACCAAATCCGAGAACCATACTCGGGCCGGCCAGAACGGGGCTACTAGCAACAGACGGACCCCATCCCGGCGTACCCTCTCCAGAACTCCCGGGAGCAGAGCGATCGGGGGAAAAGCGTACAGACGAAGCCTCGGCCACGTCTGCACCATGGCATCCAGCCCCAGTGGAGCTGGATGCGTGAGGGAGAACCAGAGCGGACGGTGTGTCGTTTCCTGCGACGCAAATAGATCCACTTCCGCGTGGCCAAATTCCCTCCAAATGAGCACCTCGGGGTGGAGCCTCCATCCCCCGGGCCTCAGTCCTTGTCTCGACAGGATATCTGCCCCCTGATTTAGATACAGATACCCAGGGATGTAAACTGCTCTTAGAGAGAGGAGCTTCCCCTGAGCCCACAGAAGGATCTGGCGCGCCAGCTTGTACAAGGGGCGCGAACGCAGACCCCTCTGCCAATTGATGTAGGAGACCACCGATG